ACTGGAGTCTATCCATGGGGATTGCTATTAGAGCTGGGATTTAGTCTTCAAAAACAATGATAAATAATCTAATGACTATTACAGCACTTTTTTTCTGCATTTCTTTAACATTAAAAGGCATTCATAAAGTTTCATTATATTTTTACATCTCAAAGAAGGAACGAGTTGGCTTTCATTGTGTTTTAAAAAATAGCTTACATCTATCTTGGCTCCTCAGAGCAGTTATTAGACTTTGATAACATCTGGAAAGGAAGGAAAACTACTGCATACATGTATAGATACTAAGTATAGCAGGACAAAAAAATTGAATCTCTCATCATAGCATTCAAATAAAGGAGAAAAGAGACTATACAGGGCCTTGTGTGGCAGAGGAAATAGCAAAAGCCAGTTTCATCAGGGACAATAGCCACAAAGTTGGTGATAGCGCCAACATTTTCTATTAGCCAAAAAAGTTCTCAAAAACCTCTTTAATACACTGTGCTTCAAATCATCTAGGGATCTTAGCATTAAGATTGTCTTTACAGTTTATTGATAATCATTGACTAAAGGGAGATTTTTTTTAATGCACTGAGTATCATTTTTACATTTCAAATCATGTCAAATTCATCTGGGAATAGCCTTGACTTTTGCCCTTTTTGCCCTTTTCTGAGAAGAACAGCACCCTACTGTCCAGGAAAACCTCTTCTTGCACAGAAACATCTCTCAAATAGTCTTGCTATGTGGTGGTATTTCACGTGTCTCCTGTACCATGTGTGCAACGATGCTAAAAATCCAAAAATCCTGGTACAATTCCTCTTGGAATTCCTTGTTTCTCTCTTCCTTTCTCTCTCTCTTATCTTTTTGGGTGTTTTTTCAAGTAAGGTTACACTATTGACAGAGAATTTAATGGCAACTGGCAAGTAGCAATGAGGGTAGACACTGGGAGTAGGACTGAAGGTAAACGGAGGTTAAAAAGGCAAGTTAGGAGTGATAAAATTACTATAATGTCATAGGTTGTTTAGAGTTTTAGAGGTTACTGAGAATTGCCCATAATTTGCTTTACATTTCCCCAATACTTTTTGAATATTTTTGTTAGATAGTATTGAAAGGAGGTAGAATTACTGTGAGTTATATCATTGGAAGGAAAACATGGTCCTTGTTTAGGACATCCCCTGCAGTACTTGAGAGCTGTTGCTGTCCTTACTTCACAGCAAGGTCATTTCTGCCACTGCCATCCAGATGTCTGTCCTCAGAGTTTGTCTGAGCATGGTTTTTCCTGCAGGCAGGGCCCCACGCTTGTGCCCTCCCCTCCTCTTTATTCCTTCTTGTTCTCCTCACACTGAACACCAGTGTATTTTTCTTGATTCAACTCTCAAACCATCAGTTTATGGAGTTGCACCAGTTTATCTCAAAAAGGAAACAAAGAGTATAGGCCCACTCCAAAGTATTGCTGTTTGATTTTTCTTTTTTTAATTGTGTTTGAATTGTTTTAGGTATTTGTAATATTTGTAATATTTAGGCATTTGTGTGCTTTTCTTTGTGTAGAAAGCACACAAAGTCAAACTGTAAGTGACCTTGCCATGTATTCCCCTGAATATCTCCTGAGCAGGAGTAGGGTGAGCGTAAAGAGTCATTTGAAGATCTTCCAAACCCGCCTGGATGCCACTCTGTCCCACGTGCTCTGGGTGTCCCTGCTTGATCAGGCGGGTTGGACTAGATGATCTCCAGAGGTCCCTTCCGACCTCAGCCATTCTGTGATTCTGTGATCACCTCGTTACTGATGATCTGGATTTCCACAGCCCAAAGCCCATCTGGGCTCTGTGCTGTCTCTTGAGAGCACTGTACAGCTCCCAGGAGACTTCTTCTCACTGCTGTAACAGGAACAGAGCCATCAAGTAATCTTTTTTGACGTTTTCCTAAAGCTCTACTTTGGCCTACTTTGTCCCTCTGCAGCCATTTCCCAGGCTCCAGCAAAGCCTGGTTTTCCTGGTTAATCTCCAAGTTGCCCCTGTCCCAAAAAGTAAGGTCACTTGCGAGCATAGGGAGACACCACAGCACGTTCTGCAGCTGGTTCTCCCTCCTGTCATGCACACGCACAGGTCACCATCACCACCACCTCTGCACAGAAGTATTTCTAGACCTGCGTTTCACGTGGCTCACAGAATTCTGTGCATTTTGGACCAGTCACCGGGACTCCCAGAACACAAGCTGCAAAGCCAGGGCCACAACTGGAGTCTGGGCTGTAAAAAATAGCTTTAGATCACCAATTCCCTAGAGCAGAAGCATTGAAACTGGGTTGGACAAGTTAGTCCTTAACAATTTGTCTTTATAAAACCTATATAGTGCAAACACTCCAAGGGGAATAGGAAAGCTAGCAGTTAATTCCTAAACCAGACAGCTATACTAACACATTTGTGTCTGTAAAAAAAAACCCTGGACGAAATCCTCTCTGCATGAGATATATTTAGCTTTGGTATTGCCCTACAACATACCCAGAAGAGCTGAGAGAGAACGGGGGGGAAATCACAGAGACACTTTGCTTTCTTCGGCAGTCCTAAAGGACATGTAGACATGGATGACTTCAGAGGACAAGGGACTTTATAGTTAAGCTATAAGCTCTGCTTATATCAGCCTCACAGGACTTGGCTATTGTTCCGGGCTGCTTCTGCCCAGAAAAAAAAAAAAAAAAAGTGAAAGCCTGAGGTTGGACTCGCTGCTCCCCATCTTCTGTGGCAACCACAGCTGTCTCTGTCACACCAGGCCCAGGGACAGACTCAGGATAACCTGGCGAATGCTCAGTGCATTTTGTAGATCATTTTATCTCCCAATGACCTGAGCCAAGGATAAAACACTAGATAGCAATGAGTCTGGTGTTTAACAGATATGCTGCTCCAGAAGGCTCAGGCTCCTATGCTTTTGTCAGGTATTAGTTGGCAATAATCCTCTGCTAAGAACACACGTGGCTCAGTTCCAGGACCTACTCTAGAAAGAATTCTGCTTCCAATTAAGCCAAGAGCCGTTGAGGGCTCTCCACAGCTTCAAAGACCAGGAACTTCCCACTACAATTTTAAAAGCCCATTATAAAGTATCCAGGTTATACAAAAAGATGGGATGATAATAAACAAATACATCTTCCCATGGCTGAATATCATCTCCAGGGCCTCGCTGTCAGGGACAACGGGGCTGGGAGTGAGGAGCTGCTGTCACTTGGCAACGAGAGGCTCCCTTCGAGCCTGCCCCTCGTGCTGAAATGCAGGACACGCTGGTCCGGGAGGCAGTTCTGCTCTCGGGAACTGCCAGATCCACAACAGACACCGTCTAAACCGGCATCTGGAGCAGCTTCTTGTCAGCAGCGGCGGGCTGGAAATGGGACCGGCAGAAAGGAGAGGAGTCCACGCTTTTCTGAAAGGACCCACACGAGCAGGAGCTGCCCCAGAGCGAAGCGCGAAGGGAAGCTCTGCCGCGGGACGCCCGCGCAGATTCAGAGCCGGGCTGGATGTGACAGCGCGACCGCTCTGCAGAGCGCACGGCCCCGCGGGGCGACACCGAGCAGGGGTGGCGGTGCCGCCGAGGCCGCGTCTCGCCCGCTGCTTCTCACCACG